AAGAACATGAAAGAAATAACAAATTTTAATCAGAAATAACTTGTCACAAAGACGAGGAAAATGGAACAAGAAGAAGCCTACAAATACCTATGAGTCAGTGAAGGAGATAGAATACAGCATAACCAAATGAAAAAGAAAGTTAAAAAAGAATACTTCAAGTAGTAAATACCGAGTTGAATTCACAAAACAGAATATCAGCCATAAGCAGTTTGCCTTTCCCTGTGGTGCAATATATTTTCTACATCCATAATTAGACCATAGATTAAGCGAATGGCTGTCAAAACGAGAAAGCATCTCACATACCACGATCAACATCATCCTAAGACTAATGTTAATCGTCTGTATATGTTCAGATCCGGAGAAGACAGACGATTAGTTCAACTAGAACAATCTTACTAAAACCATGAGAGTCGATTTGCAAAGATAGCTGGCAACAACGGAAGACTGGATGATGATCTGTGTCAAAGAACATGAAAGAAATAAGAAACTTCAATCAGTAATAAATGAAGACAACAAATTTAGAATGGGATTTCAAGCGGGTGAAGACGTGCAAATAAACCATTTTACACACACTGAAGCGGCAAAGATCCTAAAAAAGAAGGCAAAAGTACATTGAATGGAAAAAATTGCAGCACGATAATCCTCTTCATGATCCTTAATCTACCCAAACTAAAAAATCATATGAAAGTAAACCCCGTAGGCATCATTGGTAAGTGTACGGTTATAAGCTGGATCCGAAGGATTTTTTTTTCTTGCTGCACAGGACCAATGCTTACTAACTAGAATTTACGAATCACATATATTGAAAATAATGGTGACCCCAAATACAGATTCTGTGATAAATATCATGTTTGTATCAGGTTGCAAAGTGCTACCACCAACTGCAAGAAACTTGCAGGTCTAGCGCCCAAACCCGGTTAAAGACCTAGGACCACTGAGGTTTTTATGGGACTTTAAAATAGACACACGCAGAACAATGGTAGCTAATCGGAATATTTCTTTGAAGATCTTCAAGAAACTATCAGAATGCAAGGATCTTGAAGGGGAAATCTAAAAATGTGCCACATGGGGACATCGATAACTCCAGTTGTAGTTGGAACCCTCGGATTGATTGGAAAAGGTTCCGATCGACTCATTAAATGGATTCTTTGTAGTCTATACCTTAAAGAAATACAAAATGCGTGTGATCTTCCTTTTTGTTTTATTATCTTTTTTTTTCTTTTTTTTACAAAAAGTATCAATGAAAAATGTCATGAAGCCATCTATAACGATAGGTCTATGGTTTGGCCACCGGAAGAAAATGTGTCTACAACAGAAATCAAAGGAAATACTACTACTACTACTACTACTACTAATAATAATAATAATAATAATAAAAGATTCCAGTAGACACATTGAAGGGATTCCTGGTAGACCGTAAAGAAATACCAAAAATTGTACTCACATGCGCAGCTCACATATTACGAAGGGCTATATAATTGTAAAAGGTGTGTAATCTTAGTTTATATTATTTAAAAAAAAATGATCTGTGGAAATTGTCGTGAAACTATATCTGACCTTAGGTCTCTGGTTGGGATCCGGAAAGAAATGTGTATACAATAGAAAGCCAATAAAATAGTAATACTATTTTTCTAAAAGACAGTATGAAATTTTAAAATGATTGTTTCAATCAAAATCGAAAACTTTTTAAGGAGACTATTTTTTACTTTTTTTCATTTTGCATATTTTTAAATTATTTCATCCTATGCAAGGTAATAAAGCCCCTAATATGCAAGGGTTTACGGATTGCGAGAGAATATTATAAAAATATATTATTATGGAGAAAGAACAAAAATGCATAGGAATTAATATGGCAGACTTTAACGATTGACATTGCTTTCAACTGTTTGAGAGAAGAAACTATTAGCGTAAAACTTACGGTTTTCGCTAGTTTTTTCAATTGCAAAATGATGAGTATTCTGTTTCAATTCATAAAGTCTAAGCACCATAGAGGAAAGTTCTTCAGAAAAATTAACATGAAGATATTTATAGAATGTTACGTCGTTGGGAAAGTAATTGAAGCCGTCATGCCAAGTTAAGACTACTAAAATTGCAGATAATTTTTTCTATTTTATCAAAATAGAAAATACATACTAAGTACATAGCAAAAGCAGAGACCATATGTTACAGGAATTTTCAGTGCATGGATGGACGAGAGACTTATAAATGTTTAAAATAGATTCTGATGAACTTTTTTTTTTCCATTTTATCATACATCATTCCTGAAAATCTTGCCAACGAAAAACCCTACAGACGAAGGTCAACAGAAAAAAAGGACATATATGATCTTTGGAAACTTTGCCAATTGTAAAAAAAAAAAACAACTTTGTCGGAAACTGTAAAAACTTAACATAAAAATGGGTAGACTGACTTTGCTAAAGTTCTTATCCTTTAAAAATAATACATTTCTAAAAAAAACATATTTCGATTAACATTTAATGTTTCGTGTCGCGCTACTGCTGGGATTTACTAAAAAAACAAATTAATTTCCTTGCCTGAGGATGGCTGTAAGTACAGCTGAAAGTACTAGCAGAATAAAAAAAGACCTTATACAACTTGAAGTTATTTAAAACAAGGATCATTACATTCATCGAGTGATTCGTAGGTTAATGCAATTTTGAAATTGTTATATTAAAGAATGATTCCTGTAATATATATATATATATATATATATATATATATATGTATGTATGTATGTATGTATGTATGCATGTATGTATAAATAAAAAGGAAGAACAGTAAGATATATAATCCGGTGTTCTTATAGATATTATTATTTTTACAAAATAGTGCTCGATGTAAATTTACAGAGCAATAATATTATAAATTGATTTATTTAGAATATGTTTTTTTTCGCTTCACAGTTCTAACCATGTTTCCAAAATGGAAGCTAAAAGCTACGAATTTGTGATTAAATTAAAGACATTAGTCCCATTTCATCCTCAAGCGAATTTTGGAGTCACTTTTAAAATTTTAGCTGTGTCTTTAAAACCCAGTAATTTTAAAAGTTACTCTAAAATTCGCTTGAGGATGAAATGGAAGTAATATCTTTAATTTAATTACAAAATTAAATTCGTAGCTTTTAGCTTCCATTTTTGAAACATAGTTAGAACTGTGTAGCGAAAAAAACATATTTTAAATAAATCAATTTATAATATATATATATATATATATATATATATATATATATATATATATATGAATGATTCCTGTATTATATATATATATATACAAACGAGAGATGGAGTAAAATCCACTGTATGTTCATTTGTGCTCAATACAAAGTATAGAAATATATTATTATTACTATATTTTTATTATAAGAGATTATAAAAAAAAAAAAAAACATTGAAATTGCTACACAAAAACTTTCAGGTTTCAATACCATGATTGTATTTCTTCAGCTATATTAAGTAACTGGTGATGAAATGAATTATAAGGAAATTAAAAAAACAAAATGTTACGTCTTTTCCGAAAGTTAAATGATGAGAGACAAAAGGTTAGAATTAAAAATAGGCTTGTGGGTATCTTGGTTAACCTATTAAATGTCAGATCCACGCTAAATACAAAAAGTAAGTTCAAAGGTTAGAGGTGGATTATTTATTTTTACATGTCATGATCAACCGGAACATAGACATGTCATCATTGAAGATTGCGGAAAATATGCCAGTGACAAATGTATCATGAGTGTAGACGAATAGGACATTTTGTTGAAGGGAGGGCTAGGTTAATCAGGTGTAAAGTTAACAATTTTTTTTAAAAATTCTCTTCGGGAAGCTTCTCAAAGGGGCTTGTAGATAATATTAAAAATTTGTAAAATCTATATGCCATATTGATACTACTAAATGAACAGCAATATATATCAATATTTAAGCTGAATAAACAAAATGACGTAATTACACAGACAGGGAATATATATATATAATTTTTACATACGGACAAAACAGCTTACTCACTACAAATACGCATTCTTGTTTCAATGCGCATGCATCTTGATTTGAGATAACCAAATAACCATTTTTGGTTCCCACCAGTCGAGATGCATGCACATCGAAACAAGAATGCATCTTTGTAGGGAGTAAGTTGCTTTGTCCGTTTGTAAATGTTATAATAAATAAGAATTGCTCTACTGTTCGTATTGAGACTTCTTTTGAATTAAGTGTTAAAGATTAAAGTTTATATTATTTTCCTTCTCATTAAAGACTCACATGATATATATATATATATATATATATATATATATATATATATATCCGAGTCTAATGAGAAGGAAAATAAATTAAACTTTGCCGCTCTCTCTCTTTTCTGAAAATCTATCTATATATATATATATATATATATATATATATATATATATATATTTATATAGAACTAAATAGCACAGCTTATTGATATCACATAGCTGACAGACGTTTTAATCTAGTATGACTTGAATGATCTGAGAACTGTTTACCATACTGAAGGAACGAAAAGTTATGTTACCAACAGTTAAAGGAATTGTGACGATAAAACCATAGATTTTTTTTACATTTTGGCTTATATAAATGTGCGAAAGATAATCTTTAAAAAACATTAAACAGCGGCTATATAACCAGATAATCCGTGAACTGGATAATAAAAGGAGGTACCCTTTATCTTGGATTCTGAGAAGGACAACGAACCAAAACTTGGAACGAAAAAAAAATCAGACATTTTTTTTTTCATTTTTTTACGTGTCAATGCGATAAACAAAACTTATCGAAATGCACAAAACAAGTTTGACGGTATTAAAGCCTTACCAATGAAAAAGAACGTAGAATAGTAAAAAAAAAAAAAGATAAGAAAACATTTAACCCCATGTACAAGGCATCATCTAAAGGTAGAACGATATTGCCTGAACCTACCTAGGACAACTGCAAAGATTGTTACAAGTGGAAGTCACTAGTAAATGCCCCGTTATAATTCGAATTCTAAGGAATTATTCAAAGATAGAAAGAAAAAAAAAGAAAGAAAGAAAGAAAAAAAGAAAGAAAGAAAGAAAAAAAGAAAGAAAGAAATAATAAAGAGGTAACAGGCAAAAAGAAAAATATAAAGGATAAGTAAAGAAAGAAAGAAAGAAAGAAAGAAAGAAAGCAAGAAAGAAGCTGAAACATATTTAGATTGTAAGAAAATTCTCGCTTTTGAGAGTGAAAAAAGGAAGGAAGGAAGGAAGGCAAAGCGGGTTAGATATTAAGGAAGAGTGGAAAGAAAGAAAGACAGAAGTGAAAGAAAGAATGGATGCAAAGAAAGAAAGAAAGAAAGAACGAAAGAAAGAAAGAAAGGATGAAAAGAAAGAAAGAATGGATGAAAAGAAAGAAAGAAAGAAAGAAAGAATGAATGAATGAAAAGAAAGAAAGAATGGATGAAGAGAAAGAAAGAAAGAATGAATGAAAAGAAAGAAAGAATGGATGAAGAGAAAGAAAGAAAGAAAGCGGTAACAAACAAAAAGAAAAATATATGGGACAAATAAAGAATCAAGCTGATAGATATTTCTATAGTCAGAAAATTCTGGTTTTCATAGAAAAAAAGGAAGGAACAAAGGAAGGAAGAATGAAGGCAGGAAGGAAGGAAAATGGAAGGAAGGAAAATGGAAGGAAGGAAAGAAGGAAAAATGAAGAAAGGAAGGAAAATGGAAGGAAAAAAGAAGGAACGAACGAAAAAGGAATGAAGGAACGAACGATCGAAAAGGGGAGGAATGAAAAAAGAAGGAATGAACGAATGAAAGAAGGACGGAAGGAAGGAAAAAGAAAGGAAAAAAAGAAGGAAGGAAGGAACGGAGGAAGGAAAAGGGAAGGAAAAAAGAATGAAGGAAGAAAGGAAGGAAAAAGGAAGGAAAAAGGCAGGAAGGAAGGAAGGAAGAAGGAAGGAAGGAAAAAAGAAGGAAGGAAAAAGGAAGGAAAATGCAGAAAGGAAGGAAGGAAAAAGGAAGGAAGGAAGGGAAAAGAAAGGAAGGAAGGAAGGAATGATGAAGCAAAAAGGAAAGAAAGAAAAAGGAAGGAAAAAGGCAGGCAGGAAGGAAGGAAGTAAGGAAAGAAAGGAAAAAGAAGGAAGGAAGGAAGGAAGGAAGGAAGGAAGGAAGGAAGGAAGGAAGGAAAAAGGAAGGAAAAGGCAGACAGGAAGGAAGGAAAAGCGGGTTAGATATTACGGAAGCGTGGAAAGAAAGAAAGAAAGAAAGAAAGAAAGAAAGAAGCCGTAACATATTTAGATTGAAACAAAATTCTGGATTTTGAGAGTGAATATTCCATTAACAATTATTTTTGAGAGCATCAATAATTTTTCCAGTTACAAGTCTTATTATTTAACCCATAGCAAGGAGGAGAACAGCCAATTAAAGACTCATGGCGTTTACAATGAGGGAGAACGAGAAAATGCCTAAGAGGAATTTGAAGAAAAATAGGAGATGATAAGAAGTAAAAGAAACAAATGAAAATTCCTCTTAATGCAGACGAGCAGAAACGAAAGAATTGAAAAGGAGACTTTCCAAACAAACTGAAATAACAAATCAATTCTTTAATAGAATTTCTTTCTGAAGCAAGACTTTCGATTAAACCAAAATGTTCATATCCGGCAGAACCTGAGACGAAAGAAAAAATGAAATCTCCCACGAAAAGATAAGCAAGAACGAATTTTGTTATCAATAAACAAGATTATAGAAGGGAAAAATCCTTCAAGCTCTGTATAACATTCAAGTATGCCTGAAAGAAAATTCGACCGTACTGAATTGAAAAGATAATGCATTCTGAATTAATTTCTACAAAGTATCAACAAAATGATGTTACAAAATACCTGCTATTGGTCAAAACGGATCCAGTGTATCTGGTTTTCATTTAATTTTTTAGGATTTTTTTATATAATTTAGAAAAAAAAATGCATTGTTCTTTTCCGATTCTAATTATACCTATCGTAGAGACAAACTTATGCAAATTAACTGAAACAAAACAAATAATTCCGTTATTAATTACATTTTTTTCGTATTTTTCCAATTACACATAACCCGGTGCACATGTTAGTGCTCAATATGTCCATTCTACGAAGTCGTTCCTTGCAGATTGACCACAGAATCTCGATTGGATTTAAATCAGGAGAGATTCCGTAACAGTCTATAGTACTTTGATTTGCTCATTGGTGAGGCTTGCCAGTGTATTCATGCAGTGTTACAATATTCGTATGGTTTCTTTGGGGTAACGGCCATCGCAGACAATGGCCGTAGGACAACTAATCGACAGTCGGGACAATTGTGTCTGGGCGTGATAAAATTTTGATGGAATCTCGGATGGCACAATATTTTTCAAGGCCAAATTCAAACAGAAGGCGATCAGGGGATAATAACAAAAAAGATGAGGACAATCGACCGAATGTAAATAGTGTAAATAATTACTTCTCATCCGAGAAATTCAGACAAAAGCCGACAAGGTGATAATAACAACAAAGATGAAGACAATCGACTGAATGTAAATAGTGAACAATAATGATAACTCCTCATCCCAGAAATTCAGACAGAAGGCGATCAGCTGATAATAACAACAAAGATGAGGACAATCGATCGAATGTAAATAGTGTAAATAATGATAACTCCTCATCCCAGAAATTCAAACAGAAGGCGATCAGCTGATAATAACAACAAAGATGAGGACAATCGATCGAATGTAAATAGTGTAAATAATGATAACTCCTCATCCCAGAAATTCAAACAGAAGGCGATCAGGGGATAATAACAACAAAGATGAGGATAATAGTCCTAATGTAAATAGTGTAAATAATGGTAAAAACATGAAACTCATATGTCACTGCCTCTATACTGTGTAATGTTTAGCAAACTTTTCTCGCTAGAAAACAGTAATGAGTTCGATCTTTACTGGCTGCCTCATAATTTCGGCCTTGTGTCACACTTCCTTTATTATTTACATATTTTTCGTACATCGTATGCTCATTCAACGAAGTCGTTCCTTGCAGACTGACCGCAGATTCTCGATTGGATTTAAATCAGGTAAGTTTTCCGAGCCAGTCTACAGTACTTTGAATTGCTCAGTAGTAACTTATCGTGCAGCGTTAGAAATCTTTGTACACTTCCTTGGAGTAAACGTCCATTTCAGACAATGGCCGGAGGACAGCTAATCTCCAGTCGGGACAATAATATCTGGGTGGGATAAAAATCTGATGCCAAAGTATACTTAAGATTGCAAAGTATACTTAAGATTGCACGAATGCAATATTTTTCAAGGCCAAACAAATTTCATCACAAACCCCGAAAATAGATTCATATTACTGCACACCACTGCAAATGACATAATCTGAGGAAAAAATAGAAATCAATTACACACTGTCACTCCCGTGGTTCTAAAACTGACCATATGGTGAATGAAAGGAAACTAATCGTTACTAGAAAAAAAAAAGGAAAATTGCAAATTGAACATTTTTAATCTCAGGTGACGAATTTACAGAGAACCAGATGTGTTAACTTTAAATATAAGCTACGGGAAGCCCAAAATGACAGCTTCTCATGTGATTACATCGCTGTGGTATTGCTTTTATAACGATATTCTTTTTAAAAGATATACTTGTTATAGATAATCAAGAGTGATCTCCCCTTGATTTGTTTCTATCCTCTTTGAGAGAGTTATTTCTGTTTACTTGGACTATAAAAAGGTACCATATGTGAACATTGTATTCTCAGTTGAATAAATCTATTGAATAGAGCTATTTCTATTTACTGGGACTATAAAAGGGCACTATACGCGAACCTTGTATTCTCAGTTGAATAAATATTTCTTAAAGCCTACACTTACGTACTTTTGTCGTTACAATACTCTTGGGATGAAAATAAATGTTTCTACATAAGCTATCATTTTGGGCTTTGAAGAGAAGATATGCCACGGGTCATTACTAGAAAAAAAAAAAAACGAAAATTGCAAATAGAACATTTTTAATCTCAGGTGACGAATTTACAGAGAACCAGATGTGTTAACTTTAAATATAAGCTAAAGGAAGCCCAAAATGACAGCTTCTCGCGTGATTACATCGCTGTGGTATTGCTTTTATAACGAGATACTTTTTTTAACGATACGCTTGTTATAGATAATCAAGAGTGGTCTCCCCTTGATTTGTTTCTATCCTCTTTGAGAGAGTTATTTCTGTTTACTTGGACTATAAAAAGGTACTATATGTGAACATTGTATTCTCAGTTGAATAAATTTTTCTTATGCCTACACCTGCATACTCTTGTCATTACAGACAACAGAATAAGGAAGACAACTGAAACATGTTATAGATACATATCAGACAAAAGGTGAGCTGTTGCAAAATCAATGCCTCGGTAGAGTTTGACGCAAATTAGGGAAAGGAAAATTGATGCTAGAATTAAACCCTATTTGGTATTTCACCTTCTGTAATCATCATATATGGTATATTACTGTGTGTCTTGTCAAAGTATACTTAAGATTAATTTACCTGTGTATAGTAAAACCGATCATGGCAAATGTATGTTTCTAGGGATGCCCTGTGTCCTGAGTACCTACTGGGACTTAAAATCAACCCAGGCCAGATGTGGAACTCCTATATACGATCGATCGTTAAATACATTGGAAAAATATAGTGTTCCTGTACCATTCCAGTAAATACCTGACTCCGTCTGTGATACTCTACAGCCTTGTGCAAATTAACTGAGACAATAAATACGTTTTTATTTATTTTTCCAATTATACATGACCGACTAAACATGGTATTACTTCGTATGTCCGTTATTATTTTATAGAAGCTCTTTCATACGATTTGGCATGGAATCTACTAATTTCGTGCAGTCCTCATTGCTTTTTGGGCCACGAGCTTCTTTTTCGCTGTACAGTCCTCGAACTTTCCATAAGGCTTGCCAGTGTGTTCATACAGCGTTACAATTTTCGCATGCTTCCTTGGAATAACCTCCATCGCCAACAATGGCTCTAGGACAAATAATCGAGAGTCGAGACAATAGTGTCTGGGCCGGAAAAAATCTGATGCAATCACAAATGACACAATGTTTTTCAAGGCCAAACAAATTTCATCATACACTCCGAAAATAGATACATATTACTGCTATACGGAAAAATAGGAATCTATGACACCCTGTCACTCCAGTGAGTCTAAAATTGACCTTATCTTGAAAGAAAAGAAACTAAAGCGGTTGTTGCAATTAATTTGAACAAGAGATAGATCTGGGCCGAAAATGGAATCCAGTAATTATATATGACAAGGAGCTGTACAGTTGAAATGTTCTAGTCTCGATAGAGTTCAAATCGTCACCGCGTCCTTGAGGGTGATGAATTATCTTCAACTCTACGATCTTCTTCTCACAGACGAAACGTCGCCAACTTCTCACTGTTCGATCGCTATTTCCATGAAATTTGCTCCGACGAAATATATTCCTTAGTTCCACAAGTTGAAGGCTTAAGACCCCCCCACCATGCTACGCACATTGTAGCGGACCGCCTACATCACATTCATATTCAGTCAGTGAGAAGAGAGTGCCACTCAAGCAGATTCTTCCCACGAATCGCTGCTTTGTAAGACGAACACCCAAGAGGATGCTTCCACGATCAGTAAAATCTTAACTCGTTCAACTATAGGATTAAATGTTATTTTCCCAACATATCTCCGTAAACTGTTTCTTAGTATGTAACATTCTACCTCGAGTGGCTCTTGGGTCTTGTACAAGGTGAGCATCGTTATAAAAAAAGAAACAATAATCGCTCTTTTTGAAAGGTACTGGGATACTGAGATATCCAGTAGAGGCACGGCACGTGGAAGTAGAATAATTGGACAAAATAATGCGTTCGTACGAAATTCCAATCACTTGAATAATGCCGGGGCGTACAACGACAGAAACGTCGTGAATATGGCAACAAAGATGTGGACAACAGTCGGAAAAATGTAAATAGAGTAACTAATTACAATATCTCATCCCAGAAACATAGAAAGATCTTGAAGAAAGCCGGAGACTACAACGATCTAAACGTCATGAATATGGCAACGAAGATGAGGATAAGAGTCCGAACAATGTAAATAGTGTAAATAAGTACAATCACTTATCTAAAAAATATAGACATGTGACACTATTTAGGTTGCTAGAAAGAAAGAAGAAAAAAGGCGAGAATTAAATTTAGGTGATAAGAAGCAATCACGAAAAGGACACTAAGCGATGTTATTTTTCTAACAAAGAAACATGCT